CAAGACCAGTTTATGGCATAGCCATATATTCAAGTGGATGTTTTTGGGTTTTCAAGTTATTTCCTGGAATACTTTGTATCATTTTCCTTCACATCGTTTTAAATTTATGTAAAATCAAATGATACAGTCTTACATTCAGCTAATAATAAAATAGGAAAAGGAAACGGGGAATGTGTCAAAGAGACAACAACCCGACCAAAGAGCAGAAAACAGTTCAAGGCCATCAATGGGTCTTCAACACAGCGAGAAAAACCCGCACCCGGAGGCGGCTTCAGCTGGCCCCTAAACAAAAATGTATACTAGTTCAGTGAAAACGGACGTCACACTAAACTCCGAAACATATAAATGAGCCAATTTTTTAAAAAATCTACAAGACTAACAAAGGCCAGAGGTTCCTGACTTGGGACAGGCGCAAAAATGCGGCGGGGTTAAACATGTTTTGTGAGCTCTCAACCATACCCCTATACCTCTAGCCAATGTGGAATAAACCAACAAATAGCATATATATACATAGCAATAGTTTACTTTAAATAAAGTAAATTTAATGTTGGACGTATTGGTAAGTTTGCGTTACCAAAGCAGAACAATTAAACTATTTAGTTTTAGTCGTGAGAAATGTGAATTTTCACTGAATAGAAATTCATTTCTTTTGAAATGTGCAATTAACAAATTACTAAGAAATTACACTACTAAGTGTTGTAGAAATAAGCCACTCCATATACTGAATAAATCCACTTTACCTCATTAATTATTCACGATAATCCTCAGCCATTACCTTTTATTTAAAACTTCTAAGATAAAAACAGTTTTCTTCAGTTTTTATACTGCAATGGATAAATATCATTCAATGTAATGTTAAATAAATGTAAAGATTTTAATATTATTTACACTTAACTGAACAGCAATTAGAATAATCGTTAATTAAGGACATTTATTCAAACGATATGTAAAACCAAATGTTCTCAGAGTTTATTGAAATCGTCAAAACTACAAGCATATATTACATTTAAGACATGTTTTCATTTTAATGCAAATCTGCATCTGCTGTTATGTCATGTTCCATGAAAAATGTACGAGAAATGGACTACGAAAAAACAAATCAATACGCTTTCACATATTTTAATTGTTTTTAAAAGAATGTACTAGAAACTCCGATTATTATAAATATTCCAAAATCAAACAATTCTTTGGTTTCTAGAACGACATAAGAATGCTAGAACGAACAAAATCTTAATTTTCTTGACATAAAACAATTCCGAACGGAGTCACACTGGAAAACACTCTATTTACTCATAATTATCGATATCAGAAGACCAAGAAAAAACAGCTTCATAAACAATATAATACAATATTAAAAAAACAATTCCAAATGTATATGTTAAATCTAATTTCATTGGTGAGCGTCATGGCAAACAAAACGTGTATACATGTATAAGTCGGTTGAGTTTATAGATATAAAACTCCTTCATATTAACCTTTATTTCTACAATATTCTGTTTCTATGGCATTCTCAGCTCAAATAGCTTCATCGGTTGATAATGAAATCATGCAACCATACATTCGATAATAAATTTAACTACGGAAGTGGTATCTTAGAACTGAAAATATACATGTTACTTGTGTTAGTAATGATAACAAAATAAGCAACAATAGGGCTAGTAGTAAAACGTTTCAAATCGATTGCAGTGTGTCTGAAGTAATATTATTTTAAACACCGTTTATGTTATGGGTCAAGTGGAAGGAAGGTATGCCCGCAACTCATTCCACCAAATAGTATTAGTAGGTTTTCAATATAAAACGCTTTCTTAAAAGTTTTTATTATTGGCTGTTTGATACAAACAAATGAATAAAAAAATACGGACTAATACAAAGCCTTAGTATATGACCATATCAAAATGGTGAAAAGACTAATAACGTTATTTTATCCGTCACTTACTTATTTACCTTCCTGGGCTACAAATTAACAATATGACATCAGAGATACGTTCTGATTATACACTGCAGCTGTTTAAAGACAATCGACGTAAACTATCTCAGATGTCATATTGTCACGTGTTGCATAAAATTTATCGTGCACACTTCCGATTAGTTTAAAAAGGAGAAAGGAACAAATTTTGTATGGATTAAACACCACTGAAAACGATTCGTTAAATAGAATATCAGGTCTATTGACATATATTTACTATCGGGTATAAATAGTACACAATAACCTTCAGTTAATATGACGCGCTTGTAACGCGATTTGTAAGATGTCGTATGATTGCCAGCGAGAAATCTTTCCATCAACGACCCAAGCTTATAATTTTGGTACGCCAAACGCGTGTTTCGTCTACGTGAGACTCATCAGTGGCGCTCGAAAGAAATGAGACACGAATTATATCGGTGCTTTAATTGAGTCTAGTGTTTTTATGCTATTTGTTTGGGATTTTTAATGTGTTTCGTAACGATCTAATGCATTAAGCAATCAATGTTGCTTATATGCACGGACATTGAATACCTCCCTGTATCTATGCTTATGTAAGTGCATGACTATTTAAAAACTCTTCTTCCAAACATTCGAGTAAAAAATAAGATGTGGTATGATTGCAAATGAGACAACCACTGAAATACAGGGGAGGTACAAAGTTATAGAATGTGAATATGATTGTGAGCGTTCGACCCTCCGAGAACGTGAGACAGTTGTCTACTTAACAGCACAAATAAAATTCAGTCACTATTTTCTTCTCCTTTAAAAAAAAATGTGGTTCTTTGTTTTCTTCTAACAGAAACGAAGAAAAGGCATCAATAATAAGAAAACAAATCGGTTCTATAAGTCTGTTTTGTGTCATAAATGGTATAGATTTCTTAATTCAATTCTATTTGAAGGACGTTTTTTACTGTTGGTTATAGTTTTGTCTGGAATTTTTTGATAAATTATTATGAATTTCCACCTGACATCGTCGTACGTTCTTTCAACATAAAACTATTTTCTATCTGTACAAACAAAACTTACTCTTGCAGTCGGTTTTTGTCTTAATCTCGAAAATGTTCCATAATGATACTATTTCTAATTAACTTAAAATGTTTTAATCCTAAGAGCATCATGCCCACATTCATAGTTTCCCGAATTGATTTCGTGTTTTATAATATGCCTACATTCAGATTTCCCCAGCTTGACTCTTGTGTTTTATAATGTGCCTTTTATTTCTTTTTAGATACATATTATCGGACTATCAAAATAATTTAAACAATATTACAAGTTTTGCGATAAACGCGCAAGAATTATAGATCAAAATTTTTTATTTGAGCTGTTATATTTGTCTCTGTAAGTTTTACAAACTATTGCATTTACTATTTTTAACAAAAATTAACGCAAAAGACCTCTATAACAACATAATATCTAATATTCTGGTACCAATTACATTCTTATCATAATAAAATAACAATTAAAGCAGACTACTTGATTCAATTTTACGAAAATCATTAGCAGAACGTTTTACGTTTATAACGGACGACAATTATTGAGTTGTCAATTTTGCTGTTAGCTTTTGAGCGTCATCATTGTAATCAACGTCTACTGCAAGCATAAATTGAATTTAAACAAGCACAACACACGATTTTATCATCACCTGTATCGCGGAAACGTGCGGAAAATTAAAATTTCATTAGTAATTTGTAGTGATAAAAAAGACAGTTAACATTGTAATTGCAACGCTAAATAATTAAAACAAACTTTTTATCTTTGGTTTTATTATTTCAGACTGCAAATCAAACAGCAAAGTATGTAATTTACCGATGTAAAAAGTCATACAATACGTAAAGGCCAATGACAAAGATGTTTTATTGGTTTGACGACGTTCCGTCAGATATTGAGGGCATTAGGTCCTGAACATTGAGTAAACTATTTCTGTGTGAACTAAAAATTTAATGTGTAATTGCGAATAGTCGAATGAGTCAACAAATGATGAACCCCTTCTCTCACTATTATAAGACACGGAAGTACAAATTTATTTTACTATATATTTCAATTAAGTTCTGATCAGACATATGCATTGTTGAAAAACGTTACGGGTAATGAAAATAAATAAGATTAAATATATTTCAATTACAATGCATTACATTTTAAGTTACAAATAATGTGCGAATTGTTGTGATAAAGTAATTCAAAAAGAATAAAAGTACTTAAGGATGACAGCAATGTAAATTCTTCTGATCAACACAAAATTTCCTTCGAAAAATGCCTGTACCAAGTCAGGAATATGACAGTTGTTTTTCACTCGTTCCGTTGGTTGATAACGTTTGATTTTGTCAGTTTTTATGAACTTCCCCATTTAGAATTTACCTTGGAGTTCAGTATTTATTTATACTTTTTTAAAAGAGATTGAAACATTATGAACATATGCTGCACTGCGATAAAGCATAGTCATAGCATACAAAGTAAACTGTTCTTTCATCCAACGGTTTCCCTGTCCGGTTCAGACCTAACTTGGGTAAATGTTTTATATTTTTCTTGCGTCCGAAATGTTTGGTTTCTAGTGGGCCTGAATTTAGGTTTTTGGATTCTGAGACGTTTAGTCTCCAGTGTGCCAGGAAAGGTTTTTTGCTTCCTAATCTTTTGGTCTCTAGAGTGTCTGATTCAAGGTTTTCTGTGGTCATTGAAATCGGTATAATGCGTTCATTTCAATGAAAATATGTTAAATTTTCTGATTCACTGTACTAGAAAAAGTTGAAATTTCAGGTTTACTCGAAAAGAAAATTGTATCATAATGATAAATCTTTTTTATTAATGGCTTTTAAAAAGAAGAAAAACCACTGCATTGGTTATTCTAAACAACATGCAATACTTCTTCAGCCCATAAAGATGAGGCAACTACTTAAAGATTAAACATAAACAAAAACGTCTACTACACATCTCCTGTTATTCATTTGTCAAGATTGTAATATTGTCACATTAATGAAGTACCTTTCCTGAAATGAAAGACAATACTTGAATATAGTTTTGATATCATATATATTTACAGAAATTACAGTTTGTTGGATATGGTTGAAACTTGCATGTGGTTATTAATAACAGCTATTTTATTTCTGACGACCTCGGCAGCAGTCGAAGACGACGTTCGGAACAGAGGGAAACAGTATGTACAAAAACATTCATTCTCTCTATTCTTAATCTAAAATTTAACATGACGCATTTACTTCATCTGGTAAGCTCAAAGCCGACTTATTTGGGTAGCGACATCATCAAAACGGGCATGAATTAGTGGTTTAAACGGATTTATGTCTTAACTAAGCTTGGAATTATGAAAGTTAAGTTAAAACAGACACAAAATATATCAAACAATATGTTTCTATGAAACAGATCCTGATAGTGCATATGTCCTTGACACAAAGAGACTAATAGGATAAGGACTGACACATTAAGAGCAGTTACATTCCAGCAGCGCCTTCATATGGATATATATCTCCGAGTTGATACGATGTTCCAGAGCTTGCATTTCCTATCACGATTTCCTTGGTAGAGTATTGCTGCTTACAAGGAAGCTATCAAATTGAGAGTAAGTTGAAATTATCCTTTCGAAAATTTTACGAACGCCATCACGAGCTGGTTGACATTTAAGAAATATCTGTTTCACAGATGACAACGGATATATTCCTATTGTCGTAACAACAATTCAGTCCTCTTTTTCTCGAATGTGACCTACCGAATTAGAGTTATCTCCGGGTTTGTACTTACATGAGCAAAACGACGGGTGCCACATGAGGTGCAGGATCTGCTTACCCTTCCGGAGAACACGAGATCCCTTCGGTTTTGGGCGTCGTTCGTGTTGCTCAATCTTTAGTTTTCTATGTTGTGCTTTGTGTACTGTTTGTCGTTTTGTTGGGTTTTTTTTCTTTTTTTGCCTTGGCATTGTCAGTTTGTTTTCGAGTTATGTGTTTGAATATCCCTTTGGTATCATTCGTCTCTCTCTTATACGACCCAGTAGTAGAAAATCAAATTAAAACAAGTCGAATGTTCGGTGTTTGTAACGCAATGATAGAAAATCCTTCATTTTGGAACTCCCTGAAAATATGAATACCAATACATTGAAATTGACCTTACCTATAATTAATCGCGCATTGCATAAGTTTGTTTCGTTAGTAATCTCTTAAAATGAAAGATCAGAAGTCCAATCCTCCAAAAAGACATTCATATTGGACCACTGTAACTATAATCGATTTTGGTAAACTTATTTGGTTACAGCCTCACATTTTTTTAACCTTTAGCTTGACTTTATTTAAAAACATGAACGACATTCTAAATGTGATATTCAACACTACACGCTCAATAGCTACCTCTAGATCTTCCTATCTAACATAAATCTCTCTTTTTGGGGCCTAATTTAGTAAATGACATGAATCTCTCTTTCTGGCCTGATTTAGTAAATGACCGTTGATACTGATTTTGAACCTGCAATGGATTGCCATAACGGACTTTTGATGCAAAGCTTTTTTCTCCAGATCCTAAGTAATTTTGGTCTGACCAATTAATTACACAAGAAAGGCGAAAGATACCAAAGGGACATTCAAACTCATAAGCAGAAAATAAAACTGACATCGCCATGTCAAAAAACGAAAAAGACCAAAAGACAAACAACAATATACAAAGCACAACATAGAAAACTAAAGACTGAGCAACAAGAATCCCCCCAAAAAAACAACCGGGGGTGATCTCATGTGCTCATGTGAAGTGTAAGCAGATCCTGCGCCACATGTGGCACCCATCGTGTTGCGAATGCAAGTACAAGTGTTTTCAAACATTCTGAATATATGAATTGTTAGTTTTACTTTTCCACGGCAAAGTGGACATTCCTTTAAGGTTTTCTTAAGTCGTGTAGCTTCAAACGTATTTAACTATCATGTATTTGCTTGTAGTGACATTGTGTCATGAATCGATACATGTCCCTTCCAATCTATTATCTTATTCATGTCTAAGCGTTTATCCTTACATGTATTAGCATTTGAACGTAGACAAAACCTGGTACGTTTAACTTGAATTATTACTTTGTCTAAATGGTACTTGACAGCATATTAGACAATAAAGAAATTTCAGGGTTTTTTTTTAATGTTCCCAACACGTACAATAAAGGTTGACATTCGCCTCGCTACCTTTATTAATATTGAAAAGTTAGCATCAACCGGACACCATCATACATTTATAGACTTAATTACTTTTCCATTAATGACTTGTAGCAATGAAAGAGTTAGTATTGTTGGAGGTATGACAATATATATTGAACGTTAGACAATAACGACACCAACGTGTAACCAATATAACAATTAAGACTACCTGTTCCAGCAGGGCTTTGTCTACTGGATTAGATGTGTGTAAGGCGTATTATTCACCAGATCTTTTATGTCTATTCTTTTAGAACAATAAAAACAACATAGGGAAGAAATTTAAACAAATGACCTTATTAGCATAGCTTATCATTGAAATGAGAATACGAAATTCTTTTGCCGGTTCTAAAAAAAATAGTTTTCAATATCCTTTGTCCGAATTGAAGTTCTTTAAAAAATTACATTGATACCTCAAATATTATGCTTATTATTATTAAATTAATAAAACCAAATATCAGAGCGTTTAATCTATGGTTTAAGTTTATAATCTGAAATTATTTTTGTTTGATACTATTAAACCTCTAAAAATTGTGTGGAATTTTCTATTAGCAAATTTTTGCATTAAGGAGCAATTTAATATTAACGTCAGAATTCCTCGAATTTAATATCAGATCAGGTTCTGTTTCAAAGCAATTTCTGCGACTCTTTTCACAAAAATCATCTTACGATTAAGATGTATCGTAAGTTATACTGAAATGTGTATGACTTACGAGTATTTTTATTCTTTAAATTTTTTTGTGAAAAGAGCCGCTGACTTCTAAACTGAAACGTATATTATGGAGACGGTGTTATGGTGTACATAGCGTTCCTTTTTGACAACCGTAGTTTTAATCAAAGTAAGCACTAAGTAGGAACTCGTCAACAATGTATATGATGACTGAAGTCGTTTGTTTTTATTTGATTTGCTAACTTGTCTTTTCGTGTTGGTATCCCTTTTTATATACTGATTTTTCTTCTTTTTTTTTTCTATTGCTCGATAAATGTAATTTTAAAACATTGTATCATAACGGAATTGACCAGTTTTCCAAGCATATAACATAATAGAAAATAAAATATGAGGATTCGATTCAAAGATTTTTTCATAAAGGCTTTGTCAAAAAGAACACATTATATCAGATCAATGGAAAAAACTTTTAGTTTTTAAAGTTTTTGTGGCTTTTTCAATTTGTCAGAGATCAAGAAGTTACTTGGAATAAAACTTAAGTTCAAACTGATAGTATCTATAATGTTACGGTGTTACAAAAGAAATGGATTTTAAAGCAGTTTGCCAGCTACAACCAAGATGTTATTGTTTTTATTGGGTTTTTTTTCTTAATTTAAAACAATATAAAACAAATCGTTTTAGGCAAATTGATCACACTATTTCGATTAGAATACATGACTTTTTTCAAATTGACATTTGTTTTTATTTTTTGAGTAATGGCATCAACTCCGGGATGCCAGATTAATGATTTCTAGGTGTCAAAACTCGTTTTTGTGTGTCGGAAACCAGAAGGATGTCTTTATTTGAAAAGCACATTAGCAGTTAAGATGGACTTCTGTGGAGATAACCTTTTGTAAATTAGCTCTTAGGAAGTATACAACTTAAAATCAATTGGTAACTCTTCATTTCCAATTCTTGATTTAATATTCCCGAGGAAATTGATTCCAAAATTTAGTTAATAACCGAAACACTCTGTCTTGATAGAGATTTTTAAAAATTGATTATTTAAAATCGTATTATGTTCTTTGTTTTAATTTCCCATTTGTATTTTCAAATAACCAAAACGGCTATATTAAATTGATTTATGTTTATCAGTTGTTAAAGAAACAAGAAAAATGGATTTTGTTTTGAATAACGTGCTGATTAATTTACCCAAAGGAAAAGTCAACTATCACTTTTCATAAATTGAAAATATATGTTGTGCTGAAATCTATATAAATTCAAAATCTTTCATAAAATCTAGAAATATAATTGAAACAATAAATTTCAAATTGCCGTAGTAGTCAATACATATAGATACAATTTCAAATCTCTAAAAAAAAAACATAAGCTTTTAAGACGACGATAGAGTAAAACAAGTTTGTTTTTCTTCTTTCTTTTTGTATTCGGTCAATATATAAAGCTAAAAGGTGAAATATGAATCAATTAATTTAAATTCTTCTCAAATTTTTAGAAGTTCGGGGAAGTTAAATATTTTGTTTCTCCTTTTTGAAATAATAGAAGAGATAAATATTAATTAGCGTTAAAGGGTCCGTAAGTCCACCAATTTCGCTTCTCAGTTAATTACAAATCGAATAATACAATAAAAGTGTTTGGAATGATGACTTTGTCGATGTTAATTTGTAGTGTTAACGACTAACAATTGGTAATCCCAAACGTCAGAATTTGATGAGAAGACAACACAGACCAATGTAAATTAGTAATAACTCTTTGTAAGTTTAAGGAAAAGTGATTCAGCGATGCAATGGTTAGGCTATAGAGGGATGAATGAATGCATGGATAGATGGCGTCCAGTTTAAATGCATATTCAGGGCGAGAACATATTCAGAATACAATATGCATATGATCCCTGATTTGTACTGGACCGACACGCTGAGCTGTATTTTTAACGATAAAAGTCCGCCGGACACATGATCATGACTCCGAGACGACCAGTCTATGCTCATATTCCTTAATTTCTGCATGTTTAGTGTTTATCATGTTTAGTAGAGGTGCAGCAAATACCAAACTTAAAGTCTTTGGTTTGACCCGGTCGGCGATCGAGCCCACGACATCCCGTACATCGGGGAAGTACGCTACCACGAAACCACAAATGCGGCTAGCTATAAAGGGTTAACTTACAATTTTACAGATTTAAGTAATTTAAAAAAAGGATCAAGAATCTTATCAATTACATTATGAATAATAGACTGTTATAACTGGCATATGTATGAATAACAGGACATCGATACTAGCGGCATTATATCAAACTATGTATAAGTAACTCTATCCTTGCATCTTTAAAAGCAGTTTACTTTCGTACGCATGTTAAGAATTCGGTCTTGTTGAATCCAGAATAATTTTTTCCATACGATAGAACATTTTGGCATAATCAAAAACAAATGAGCTAATTTGATTGGAAGCATGTAAAAAGATCAAAGTTCAAGTTCAGCTTTGATTTTGTCAATTGATACGAATTGCAAATGCCTTTACAACATTACAAATCTAAATGTTGGCTTTTCTATATAACAAATTGAACGTCTTGGTATAATGTAAATAGACTGTCACTATATATGTTTTCTAATTAGCATAAATTAAAGACCTGATAAGAAATTAATGTTTCTATCATGGCTTAATTAAAATATAACTGTGGAATAACGAACAAACGATGATAAAGAAAGTGAATTGTCGCGAGATTTCACGATCTCGTCTATGGAAATTAGATGTTTGCGTGTCAATAACCAAGGGCATACGTACCGCCATCTCTCAAAACTTTGGTCTACAGATTAATATCTACATTACCATGATAAACTGAATCATTGAATGCATTAACTTTTATGGCTAGGAATATATATTAAAAAGAGCTTTTTTTCATTTTATGTGCATCTTTATGATTGAAATATTTTGAATTTGCCAACAATCAGTTCTTTGTAGTTAAGTGCATTTTCCCTTACTGATTGAACATGCAAGTGTATGATACATAGACCTTATTCACATAGATGTAATTCATTATCAAATCCATAAAGGGATCTCCCTTAGAAGCAAATGTTGTATTGGCAAACATGACGTTAAAACCGGTTTAACATTGTTTTCTATGACATTTTATCTTCTTTTTGCAGTTCAATTTATAATGTTAAAAAAAACAGAGAATTGTTAATTCAAATGGATATACTCTTTCTGAAGAACATGTTCTTTGCGCATTGTGTTAACAAAAAATACTTGGACAGCAGTTGGGTCATTTTACAGAATGAAAAGAAAGAGTTTGAGAGGTGTTCTTGCTTCAAAATCGGTGAGTCTTTCTTTCTGTCAGGAGACTGTCCTCACAGAAAGGAAGATGATAATTTTTTCAAGTCTTAGGATCATAATTAAATATTTGTATTTGAAAGACAGAAATGTCATCCAAATTGTGACTCTTAATGTATGACACGCGAATTTAGCAAAATCATAACGTTACTCTGGTTACTTGTTTTCTTGCTTAAAACCCCTTCATACAGAAACCCTTCATACAGATAGCGATAGAAGGTATCTCGGCGCTTAAAACCCCTTCATACAGATAGCGATAGAAGGTATCTCGGCGCTGACTGTTTCTGATAAGGACCGAGAATCAGATTTTTGTGACTGAACTAAATCCGATCGATCGAGATATCTAAATATTTTATATGATTATGAAAAGTAATTTGACCATGTATAAATACGAAGCCACGTCCGGTCAGAAAAGAGACGTTAATTCCAATACCTCGTGTGGAGAAAGAGCAATGCTTATACGTGTATGAATTACGGGTCTCATTTGGGGGCGGGGGGGAGGGAGGGGGGGTCTGATCCTGGATGCCGATTATTGTTTTGTCAGATTCTCGTATCCCGCTTATCATTATATTAATAACGCTTGTTATTTCACGTGTCACGCCCGACTTCGTTTCCCTTTTTCACGCACAAAAATTTGACTTTCACGTGTCACGCTTACAAAAAATCGACCAATCCCGCGTCACGGTTGGACCCCAATGCGATCCACAATTATGTGTCGTTGAACGTTAAGCAAACAATTATTCAATCACTGAAAATCGTCCATTTTATCTTTTCAGACTTATACAGCAGCTAGATGACGTCCGCCATAACTTAAAAACAGTAACAGAGTCTTTAGAAAAACTTTCTGACGTCATTGAAGAGTAAGTAAATATAAAATAATAAAATCTATAGTCACAACTTCTTAAAATCAGTTCTTAAAAAAATCTTTAACTGATGAACCAACTCTTCATGATAAAAAAATATCTTGCATTTTATTTTTAGAACGAAAATATCTGTGGAAATAAGTTGATACTATTTTCTCTGTTCCTAATTATACCAAAATCAAAATAAATATCATGTTTCATGCCTTATTAGCTTTAATTTCTTTTGTTCAATCAAACATGAGACGAGTTATCCAACGATTTGTATTAGGAGAGCATTTATTACAATGAATTCTACAGTAATCTTGTCACAACTTTCGATCAAAGTTTGTAAGGTGGTCTATTTGAAGGTTATATTTATGATACAATGCTACTATGTAAGAGTGCTTTATTCTATATGTTACATGTAATGTGAACACTACAGTGGACTTTACTCTGGTTGTAGTTGTTGAATATGAGATGGTACATTTTGTCCCAAGTTTATATGTATCTACTAGATAGCTTTTCTGTGTTTTGTTCATGATTTATGTTTAGTGATAAAATTTTGAAAAAGAAATTGTGAACATTGAAGAAAGTCCAAACGGTCAACCTTACGTTACCTGCTATACGCAACTCCTTGGGAAATGTACGTGTACGAATGAGGGTCTTTATTCTTTAACCTTTAAAGCTATTATTCCATATTCTTTAACACCTCATTTTTCTCTTTCCCTTTTTTTTTTCTTGCCTTTTTTCTCTACCCTTCGTTTTTTGCCTTTTATTCTGCACTTTTTGGCCATTATTCTCTATACTGTAAATCCCACACAGACCCTCACATGTGAACCCTAATACAATTACCACAGTTTACAAACTCCTAAGATGACATGAAATACATATCAGTAGATTTAAAAGTACATTAAATTTTAATAAAAGTCATTTGATATTTCACTTACATGTATATCGGAAAACTGCAAACAAAGTAAAATTTCCACCGACTAATAAAGACTTACCGGTCTCTTCCAACCTATAAATTTTAATTTTCAGAGAATGTACTTGGGGAGGAGGAATGTCCGACGAAATGTGTTCAACAGTAGATATCGATGAAATACAAAGGAGCTTTCAAGTAATACATGATAGAAATAGTCCAGGAAAAAGATCTGTCCCAAGTATGGACCCTTCACTTCGACAGTAAGTATAAACGGCCAATATACATTACATTGTTGAAATAATATATTACTATGTCTATCTTTACAAATACACTGTTTCACTCACTACAAAAATATAGAACATTGCACTTTCATAAATAACAAATAAAACAAGAGATATTTATACTTGTGTCATAAATTTAACATAAAAATATGAGAGTAATTGGTTTTGGATAATATTGTATTAATTAATCGTTTACCCAAAATTCTCTTCATTCGGACAACTTCGTTACTGATTACATTTCTGCATGTAGCGATGATGTTCTTTGTTATATTTTCGTGTTTTGTACAATACAAGTATTATTGTATTATGATTTGCATGAAGGACTATTTAAAGAAAAGCAACGAATATTCCAAACGATGAACAAAAACGTTGCTATCGCGTTTGTAATTTTCCATCTCTTTGTGAGTTTTTTTTAGAATTTTTAATGCTATTGTGTATTTTAAAAAAGGTTAAATGCCATTTCAAAGAATTTGTTGATTCATTGATTGTTGGTTGCTTAACGTGAAGAGCGTCCAGTGGCAAATATTGCATGCATGTTCAGGACGAGCAAAGGGTTTGTTGCTAACATGAATACTTTGTATGAATAAAAATTATTTAACGAAAATGACATATATAAAAAAAACAGGATGTATGAAAGGTAAAAAAAACCCTAAAATATGGAATACCACAGAAACGATTAAAGAAGTTCATGCATATGCAAATGTAAATGAACACTGATATCGAATAATGACATATTGTTTCATTGTAAAAGAGAAAAAAAACATACTAGTCTTAATGTTTCTAAATATAGACAAATCGTTGTAATCATCGATTCTTGTTCATTCTAGATTTCTTCAAGACCTTTTACGAAAGAAAGAAATGATCCAAAGACTAAAACATATCCTGACATACGCTGACAATGCAGTTCATGAAGAAAGGTAAAGAAATTAGATATCATAAAAGTGAAACATAAATACAAGTATGACTTCAGAAAAATGTATTATTCTGATTTGCGTGTACATGATACTTGTTTCTGGTATAAAATTCATCAGACACGCTCGCTACCAAAAGTTGGAAAGACCAAAACATAAAAAATTTTGGAGTATAAACCCAAATAAGTTTCAACCAAACATTTGGAACTGTCTGTGGTGAAGTTTGCCCTAGGGAGTTGCAATCTTCTTTTTAGTACAATAACAATATGTATATATATGATCTGTTTTTCTATTGGTTTCTTTTTTTTTCAAAGAAAAGGAACATTAGGAACAAATTGCCTATTTACAATAATTTCATTTTTTTTTTGCATTTAACATCAAACAAATTAAACATACAAAATATGCGCATTCGAAAATTGAACAATATTTTTAACAATTATGCGCATTTATGTGAAAAGTATCACTTTTATTTTGCATTGAACTTATATCCTTATACGTGAGAATAACAAACAACAAATAGTTCTTGTTGCATTGTGGAATGTAACTAATGCTTTTTCCTATGTTGAAACCTTACCAGAATTTGAAGCCGTCTAAAAAGGTCATAATTGAGAAGGAGGGGATATTGTATATTTTTCAAAACGGACCGTTTAATGTTTTATTAACGTGATACACGTATCACACAATTCGGCGAGAAAAAATGTGTTTTGTTTAACCGCCTATTCTGACTTCTTAACGATTACTCAGTACTCTCACACCTGAATGCTGCAAACTTAGCTGAATAGAGGCAATCATCAATCATGAATTCTTCGGTTTCAAAATCGGTTTGAGATCAAACGTTTTTTCATCATAAGACCTAACAAAGTAGGCAAAAAAAGTCCTTAAATGTTTGCCAGTTCTCAACCTTATTTTTTATTCTATTTTACTGTGATTTCATGTAATATGTAATATCTTCTATCTATAGGAAGAAGAGTTGTCAGTTAAATCTTGGTTTCCACTGCCAGACACAAGAGTATTCCGCCATTGCTGACATGTTTAACTTCCTGGGTAGTGGCAGAAGTCCAGGGAAAAGACGACGACGATCTATTCAACAGATTCTGAAAACAAAACAAACATCATAAACACAATGTATATCAGCGATTTCAAATTTTCTTTTAATTAAATCACTTTACATTTATTTTGAATGCCAATAATTTGATGAATGTTACGTCAGGAAATTTCTCTTTATGACAGATCAGTACGTAAATAAACAAATATTGTTCTATGTTATAAGCACATTATATGTTATAGCGTATTTCCTTTCACTTTAGCCGTTTATATACACGTGGTCGACACAATTTTGAACATGAACACGAGCACATACTTCTTTTGTGCAGTATTAAAATCAGGTATTTTTCGAACTTATACTTCTCAAAATTACACGTGTGAATAAATACAAATAATTTTTGTGGTATTTTGCCTAGTTTAATAATTAAGATTAATAAATGAAAATTTTCTTTAAACTTTTATTCCATTCCACAACTTACTTTACTTTTGTAACTTTTACTTCTGATTTATTTATTTGTAATAATGTGTTATATTGTAGATTGATATTTTCTAGTATAATACAATTTGTTATTTAATATTAATATTTGTAATTTGTGCAATATTCTTTAACATTGTTTTCATTTGCAATAAAGTTTTAAATTTTCTCATTTATGTATAAAAAATTTGTATCGGATATAATTAAAAGAAAAGTACAATGCTGTTAAAAAGGACTTTTCTCAAAATCGAATGTTATCCTTTTTCGATTATAACCCCGTGAATTTCGGTATAACTCCGTGAATTTCGGCACGGGTTACATTAAAGTCTGTAGGTCTATAATCGACACTGTGGCTGCTTTAAACGCAAGACCATATACAATATATACAAATTTATTCACATGTGTACAGCTTGAGAGCTAGGGGAAGACTGCCCAAGCAACCGTTTACAAAACATAAATTAAGTCAAAGATAAGGGTATTAAAACATTATAAAAGGTTCTCATAAAATATAAATTATTGTCCAATCTTATGTAATAATAATCGGATTATTGTCCTCCGGCTAAACTTGGTAAAATAGCGATAATTGCTTCTTTTGTAGTTCGAGTGTTAGATACATGTATTATCTTTAGCACTTTTGACAGCCATCGGATTAAGTTGTAAAATAGTAAATCTATAATCTCTTTGGGTATTTGAAATAAAGAAACATTATATTTAAGAATAAAGAAACATTTTAAAACAAGAAATGTTCAATTTAAAACTAAAACGAGAGTTCATAGAAATATCCAATCTAAAACGAGAGTTCATATAAATATTGCATCTAAAACGAGAGTTCATATAAAGCACTTTTCGAATTATGGTAAAAGTTCCCAATGTCACTTTTCTTCCGGTTATATTCTCCACTACTTCCCCGAAGTGCTCGTCCCGAGCACAAATTATTACGTTTCGTATTAGTGTTGGTAATATTAATCCATCTGTTGGTAATTCGTTTTTGGGTAACTCATCTTTCTGGTTGCTGAAAGTGTGTACATACTGAAAGCATCACGAACATAGAAAATGCACATTTTGGACCTTTAATAAATATACAAAGGGGTATGAGGAGGGGGACTAACACAAATATATACTAAAACATTCTGAGTAGGGTGACTAACATAAATACACTGAAATATTCTGAGGAGGGGACTAACATAAATATACTAAAACATTCTGAGGAGGGGGACTCCTGACATAAATATACTAAAATATCTATTTCACCTTCATAATTCAAAAGGTACATGACTCCATTATATGTATAGATATATAAACAACAAATGGGGTGCTTTTATCGTAATCATAAAAGTAGGACTAAGTATTCAAGGAATTGATTTAAAAGGGGGGGGGGGGGGCAATAATGATCATTGGCCCGTTTATGATTCTAACAAAAACTACACTATATTTGAAGGTTTTCGAAAACACTATCCAGAATTTTAACCGATTATCAGATTATCAGTGGCTATATTTGTACCTTGTAAACAGGTTTTGATCAAACATCATAATGTAATTTTCTGACATGTAGTATACAGGTCGTCACTCCTGTACACCCATTGGAAACAAGATCACAAGACAGGTGACGAGTCCATCCTGCACTCCTGTTTCGGACCAAAATTGGTAATCTAAAATGATTTGATAGACCACTGATAATCTATGTATGTAAAAGGCAGCTCACACGTGTAAATTCAACTACTTATAGCATGTTGCGTGAAATGATACAAAATAATAACGACAACTAAACAATAATTGTGGTTATTTGGTATACTATAGTCAGTGATCTTTGTTCAAAGTTACAACCTTCACTTGTGTAATACACTAGGTTCTATGATACAACAAGGATACACAGACTTTAGCTCGATTTCTTGGTGGTTTCTTACTGCCAGTGAAAAATATCTCAGAAAAAATATAATATTCATCTTAGAATAATGAAGTGTTCTTGATAGAATAGATTCTTAATGTGAAAATGAAAACAAAAATAGACTTTTCTCATTCAGTTGATTAACAAGACTCGAAAAAAAAACATGTACTGAAAAAATAATTTTCGCCTTGTTTATTTTTAAAGTTATCCATGTCGTTTTCGTTTATTTTTACTTTGACTCTGAGCATGAAAGTGTTGGATTAAATGATTGGGTATGTAGTTTGATGGTTCCCATGTATTTTGTGAACTACTATAACCTCGCCATTTTATAAGATATTGTTTAATGTTGCCTCGTTTTCTACACTTAAGTATTCTTTCGACATCATACATGTCCTGTTGATTGTTTGTATTTTGTGACGGTTGGTTATCTTTGTTTAAGTGTTCTTGACCATTTTGATTATTTTTCCCTACTTGATTTTTTGTATGATTGATAATTGTGTCATTGACTCTGTCAAGGATTTCAGGCATGTCCATGAGTTCCTCTGGGTTTAGGTCGTGATCTTCATTAACTTCATCGGGTGGGTTTGTGGGGCGATTCTTAGGGTCGAGATACTTCTTCAATCGATTAGCATGTACTGGAGCTTTCAATATTTTATCGTCAGAAGATTTGCGCAAACGGTAAGTATATTCGCCTATGTGTTCCGCAATATAATATGGTCCAGTCCATTTTCGTTGGAGTTTTGGCGACAAGCCAACTGGAGTCCGTGTACAGTAAAGCCATACTTTGTCTAATAAGAAAAACGTTGGTTCCTCTACGTTTTTGTTGTGTTGCGTTTTGTACTTCTGCTGTGCAGCTTCAATATTTGTCTTAGCTATTTTTCTGGCAACGGAGAGATTATCAACAATCAGTTTTAGGGCTGATTCTGCATCTTTGCTCAATCCTTTAGTAGATTCTGGAATTAGTGCAATGTCTATGGGATTTCGAGGCTCTCTTCCAAAGACCAAATAATATGGACTATATTGTGTCGACTCGGTTTGTATTGTGTTTCTGAAAGCCATCATAACGCCTTGTAAATAGTCGGGCCATGTTGACTGGTTGTCATGGCAATACATTCGCAGAGATGTTGCTAATGTACGATTCTGTCGTTCTGTTGCTGCATTGCATTCTGGGTGATATGATGACGTATTGAGCTTAGTGATCTGGAAAATTTTGCAGATTTCTTTTACGAGATTTGAAGTGAAGTTTTTCCCTAAATCTGTAAGAATTTCTCTACAAGGTCCGTATCGACATATAATTTCGTTGAAAAGAACTCTAGCAGTTTCTACGGCTCCTCCAGTTTTCAATGGAAAAGCTTCACACCATTTGGAGAACGGACATACTACTAGCAAAATCTGATTGAAACCTCCTGATGACTGTGGTAAATTGCAAAGAATGTCCATGTGTATTCTTTCAAATACTCCAGTTGCCGGAAGAGGCTGTAACGGTGCTCTCTTAGAGTGTGGATTAGTCTTGCCTTGTTGACATTCAATACAGGTTTTCACATAATCTTCAATGTCTGAGTACATTCTCTTCCAGTAATACTTCATTCGGATGTTGTTGTAAGTTCTGTCAATACCGGGGTGCGCTGCAATAATTGCATCATGGTACGATAAAAGTACGTCGTTACGCAATGACTTCGGTACAACTAGTTGTTTAATGACCCTATCTGATAAGTGTCCTTTCCCTCTCGGATAATAATGGTGAAACAGTATACCATTAGAAACAACATAGTGGTTTGACTCTCGGACTATTACATCAGCTTTCTTTTTGTCTTGAGGTAGCGTGTTCTGTTCAATATACTCTAGCATTTGTCCTGCTTCTTCATCTTCATTTTGAGCTGCCTGGATTCTATCCTGTGTTAGCTTTGTGGTTTCGATCATCATGAGTAATGGATCAACATCACGATAACGATTATCTGCTTCAGTGACTGCCTTAATTGCTGATACTGAATCGCTTTCTAATTCGTCTGAGTCTTTTAACTGGACTGGCTGAACGACTGAACTTTGTTGATTGGTTTCTTTTCTGTATTGATCGGTCGCTGTATATGTAGCCTCGATTTCGTCTATACTGAGTCGACGCTGATGCTGGTTTTCAGGGTGCTGAATTCTGGATAGGAAATCTGCGCATACGTTGTCCTTTCCGGGTTGGTAGTGAACCTCAAAATTGTATGTCTGAAGATACATGGACCATCTAGCTAAACGTCCGGTACTCTCTTTAATACGATGAAGGTATTGTAACGCTATGTGATCTGTATATACGTGGAATTTGTTATTGGCTAAATAAACATGGAACTGTTTTATAGCTACTACTAGTGCGAGGCATTCTCTGTCTTTAACGTCCCATCTTTGTTCTGGTTTTCGTAGCATACGTCCGCCATACGCAATAACTCGGAGTTTCTTGTCTTTGTCGTGTTGACCTAGAACATATCCTATTGCAGTACCACTTGCGTCGGTATGTAGAATAAACTCTTTATTGAAGTCCGGGAATACGAGGATAGGAGCTGATGTGAGTTTTGTCTTGAGGATTTCGAGCGAGCGCTGACATTCGTCTGTCCATTTAAATTGCTGATCTTTATGTAGAAGCTGATTCAGGGGAGACGTTATTTTGGAATAGTTGTGTATGAACTTCCGGTAATAATTGCATAGTCCAAGGAACATACGTACTTCTTTAACATTTTTCGGTGCTGCAAAGGAATGTACAGATGCCGTTTTCTCTGGATCTACTGCTATGCCTTCTTTGGTGATAATATGGCCTAAATATTGGACTTCTTTACAAGCGAATTGACACTTTGACAGCTTCAATTTCAGGTTGGCTTCGATTAGTTTATCAAATAGAGCTGCTAAGTGACAAAGGTGCTCTTCAAAGTTCTTACTGTAAATTAGAATGTCGTCTACATAAACTAATGCGCTTTTCCAGCTGAGATCCCTAATAACTTCATTCATGATCATGTTGAAGGTTGCAGGCGAATTTGCTAAGCCATATGGAAGTCGGTTGAACTCGTACTGACCTCGATGTGTCATAAAAGCAGTCTTCTCTTTGGATTGTTCATCAAGTTCCAGCTGCCAGAAGCCCTGTCGCATATCACAGACGCTATATGTCTGCGCCTGCTTTTCCCCAAGGGTATCTAGGACATCTGAAAGATTCGGGAGCGATTGCGTATAGATTTTTGTCAGACGGTTAAGTTTTCTATAGTCCACACATACTCTCTTCTCGCCATTTGGCTTTGCTACTAGCAAGATGGGGCTGCTCCATGGTGACATGCTCTTCCGAATTATGCCTTGTTCCTCCATTTCGTCCAAATGTGTGTTTATTTCTTCTTTTGTTTT